CTGGGTTGCACATTCACGTCATCATACCTAGCTTTTTGCATGGGCTCCAAGGGTCAGGTTCAGGTCCTCATGCCTGTGGAGCAAACTCTTTACTGACTGGGCTGTCTCCCGAGTCCTATTTGTGGTTTTTAAGCATGTTGATTCTCTCCTGGTTTCTTCTCAATTATAATCTCTTACATAGACTTAATGTTGGACCATCCACTTTGCATCTACTACCTGAAAGACCCCTATGAAGTCAGCAATAATATTATTGTCCTCCTGATGAAACTAAAGCTGATGGGGGTACAGTGACTTGCCAAAAGTCATGGTACTAGGTCAGTATGGTTGGAGTTGTCTGCCAGAAATTCACATTTTAGAAACAAAAGCCCTCAATTCATGTGGAAATGGTATTTGGAGACAGGCTCTTTGGAAAGTAGTTAGGATTAGATGAAGTCGTGAGGATGGAACCACCAACACAGTATTAGCAACTGTATAGGAAGAGGCAATGGAAGTATGGAATCCAAGGTAAAGCCCCACAGCTTCACAATGGCTGCCCTAATTGTGTTCACTGAGATGGATAGACCTTGGGTCTGGCTAATTTCACTATGGGTTGTTTTTATTTGCAAGTTCTTCATAATAAAGTTAATTATAAAAGTTAAAAGAAAAAGAGGCCGGAGAGACCTGAGCTGGCAGGCTCGCTCTGTGTCTTCGAGTGACGCCTTCCTTGTGCACAAGGCCTTCCTCAGAGCTTGATCCGCACATATTCTTGGGCTCTTAGTCTCCAGACTCAAGAGCCAAACATGTCTATTCTTTGTAAATCATCCAGTCTGGGTAATTGAGTTTCACCAACAGAAAATGGACTAAGACATAAGAAATTGTCTGCCTGTCTGGCCACAAAGTCTGTGTTCTTCACTGACTACAGCATGAAGAATGTGTGAGCTGGCAGCGGCTCTCCTAATTGCGCTTTTCTATCAAAGCTCTGCCAAACTGTGGAACTGCATTTGTTAAGTAGTACCCTATCTTTTAAGTTTCAGAGGCTCTGCTCATTTATCCACCAGACGGTTATTAAAAGCTTCCATGGGTTGAATATTTTACCAGGTGGTAGGGATGTAGTTGCGGCAAACCTGAGCCTTTGCCTTTAAGAAACTTCCCGTCAGCCCAGAGGACAAGACTCTAGCCCTCATTCAAAGCAGAGGCCACAGAGGAGGTGATGACTCAGAGTTTTCAGGACATCTGGGAATCTACCACCCATTCAAGGTGGAGAAATGATAATGTGTGATAGACTGACTCAAAACCACCTACCTGTTGGTATCTCACCCTTAACCCAGAGAGATTCACGGTAGACACATGGGACTGTAACTCTATATGTTCTATTCCATAAAATTTACAACACCCAATAGTAAAGTCAAGCGAGTGGTGAGGCAAGTTTGAGATTTGGGGTGTGATCCCACTTACTGTCAGGGAGAGCCTGAGGACTGAGGGGCAAAGCTGAGGAGAGAGATCTGAATGAAGAGATGTTGCAAAGGCACAAAGGGAGGCCAGAGGCTACTCCAAGCTGGATGATATGAGTTTGTTCGCTCGTTTTTCAAAGCACCCTTGGAACGAATGACTTTAGAGCTGAAGAAAAGGAACTGGAGTGGAGCACACTGATTTTTTTGGAATAGCTGGAAACAGGTAAGTGGACAGGTAGAAGAGGAGAGCGTTGTTCTCACGGATGAATGGGAAAATGTTGTTGGTAGGATGGAAAGTTGCCGATGTTTCTGGTGGCATTGGGAAGCAATCCGGGTGATGGGTGGTTGTGGAGGTTCTAGAAATGAATGAGAATTCTTCAGCTGCCGTCCTCCCTTCCTGTGTGACTAGAGTTTGGGCAAGGTGGCAGCTGAAACTAACTATGACAGAGGGGATGGATGGGAATAAGATATCTTTACTCCCCCTTTTTGTTCACATGGGGCAGAAGAAAAGACCCTCTCATTTTATCAGAAACTAATTTCACAAATTCACAGGCACATAGACCCTACAAATCTCTACCCAAACCTCCCCGATTCCGTTCCATATGTGTCCTTCCAAGATCACAACTAGATCAAGTCAAGGTCATTGTCTTCTGCTAAGGCAACTACACTCTGGAAGACAGCAACTAACACCCACCTCCTTCCCTGGAGGTGGGGCAGGGCATTACAGGGAAGGGACAAGGAGAGGAGGGGCATAGCAGATAGGTGGGAGGCAGCGCCATCTGGAGGATAGAATCATGTATTGCTGGAACTTTGTGGGGAATTGGTTTCTCAGCTCCTCAAGGCACACCAGGTTTCTTAAGGGAATGTCTGGGCCCCAGGTCACGAAGTGCATACTAGACACTATTTCCTTTTAGTTTTGGTGTACTTGCACCTTGAAGTGTGTGTTCATATGAGCCGTTTATGAGGAAAAGGCAAGAAAGCACAGGAGAGGTACGGGAATGCATGTTCCTTAAGGGCTTAGAAGATGTGTTTGGCCACTTAGGGCAACAGAGAGAACTAGTGCCATCTTCGCAAGTCAGTGCAGGGAGATGAGAAGACGCAGCACTCGATCCAAAACTTTCCAGATAACTGGGGAAACCTCTAAGGGAGCGATACCCTAAGAAGAATGTGCAGCTTGTTAGGGTTAGAGTTCTGCTCAGTATCAAAGGAAACATTTCTCGTCTTTTTAAAAAATGTATAAAGAGAGCCTGTAATCCCCAGTGTCTCAAATTTATGATTTCCAAATGTGGACATGTATTCCTCCATGTGCGCGATATCTTTTTAATGGACTACAAATATTTGAAATGTGTAAAAACCGTGGGAGGATGAGCATTTTAAGTGTGGGGAGATGGAGTTGGGTTAGGGTTAGGTTAAGATGTCATTGTGGAAAAAAAAAAGATGTCATTGTGGTAGATGAGAGGTCCCACGAATCCAAATTGCTCAACTAGTCTGCAGTTTTACAGCTGATAAACTGGAAACATCCTTGCATCTCAAAAGTCAGCAAGACAGAAACAGGAAGAATATTTACTCAAGGTATACTGTCTTTGGATGTTGTCTGTCTGAGGAGAGAGGACCATATCATCCTTCCTTCTGTGACAACCTGCCTTCCAGGGAAAGTAGGGTCAAGGGTATCTTGGATATGTCCCTGGTGATTCTGACATGTTCTTCCAAGCTTCCATCTCAGTCCTCCCCTGAAGAGAGTAAGTTTAAAGCCAAATACTAACAAGGTCAGAAAAGACTGCTCATTCCAAAAACAAGTGGTGTGCTCCCAGTTGAGTAGTCTTCAGGGACTCCTTTGTGGTTTGTTTAATAGACTTCCTTGATCAGACACATCTTCACTAGGTGGCCTTTGTTCCCTTGGCCTAGAGTGGGAAGACAGTACACGGTGCCATGTTTTGATCATACTGCGATGATATATTAATATAGTGAGTCACTAGCACAGAAAGCCCTCAGTAAATGTCGGTTTCCCTCCCCGTCATAACACAGTTGACAGTGAATTGGCTATCTCTTTTCCTAATGCTCATTTGAAGTTTTAACCCACTTATGTACACATTAGAAAATGTAGGGCAGGAATGTAGGCCCCAGGGTCTTAGCGGTGGGTGTTTGGTGGGGTTATGGTCATCAGGTCCCCTTGGTGAGTGACAGTGTGGCACAGTGGTGAGAACTGCTCCCCAGATCCAGACTGACGAGGTTTGAATGCAGGCATCAGCTTTCCAAGTGCTGCATCCTGGCAAGACTCTTCACTATTTTGTGCCTTGATTTTCTGACTTCAGTGTGGAGTCACCGTCTTTGTTCTGAGGATCATGTGAGTGATCCATATTAAGCATGTAATCAGTGTCTGGCATCGTGTAAAGGTTTCGACCATGACTGCTGTTACCATTCCCGGTCAGTCACACAAAACACATTTAAAGTAATGTTTAATAAGTATTAGCTATAGTGTCCACCATTATGTGTTCTGTGAAATACAACCAGATGGCTCTGGTGAAGAGCTCTTGCCTTCTTGCAGAGGACCAGGGTTCATTCCCAGCACTCAATGGCAGCTCACAATCATGTGTTAACTCAGTTCCAGGAGATCAGATATGTTCTTCTGGCCTCTGCAAGCACTAGGCACATATGTGGTGAACAAATACTCAAAAAACAAACAAACAAAAAACCAACAATGAACCTTTAAACAAAAAGATCTCTAGCTGATGAACCCAAATTCAATTTTTGGAGATTAGTTCCAGACACATGCCTTCCTGGACTGGAACTTGGAATCAGCAGCAGTGACTACACAAGCAACAGAAGTCTGCAGAATGTGGTGGCCAAGTGGTGACAGTACTCCGTCAGAGGCATTGATACACTCTCCTGTGAGGCTCAGTCGGTTTTCTGTTTCCTAAATACTATGACCCACACTTTAGACACTGCTGGCCCAAAGACACAATTTGTCCATAGGTACTTTTCTTTTCTTTTTCTCTTTTCTTTTTTTTTTGGTCAGAATACAAATAAAAATAGTTTCTACTATTTAAAATTGGGGCTATTTCTCAGGGATTCTAGGCTTTCTAAGTCTCAAATAATTGGTGGACTTATAGCTCCAAGCTTGGTCTATATGACAACTATATGTTGTCTGTATGATAACACTGTAGGAGTGTTCCTATCAGATCAGTTATTTACTTTTCATTTTCCACAGGCCCCATGACTCCCTATTATATGGTATTTGTTCTCTTGACTCAATAGTATTGTTGCTCTATCTATGTACGTCTTTAAATTTTAATTCCTACTGTATGCTTATGTAAGATAAGTATAGAACAAGCGGTACAATTAATCTGGAAACAGATATTGCTAGTCTAGACTTGACTCATCCTACAGATGAGTTGTTTGACTTGGGCTGCCATTGATGTCTTCAAATACAGTAAATACCTGTATCTCATGCATGCCACCTTGGTACCTGGTACTGGTGATGACTACTAGAAATTATTCATCATAGATTGGGAATCATGAAGAAGTGGCACCAACAATAGTAATCTATATTACCACAGTTATGCAGAAACATTGAAATTATGTCTTTGTAATACAGTAAGTCTAGGAAAAGTAGTTTTCTTGAAAATCTAAGGATAAAACAATGATATTTGGAAACCAATGGAGACACATTTCTTAAAATAAGACATTTGAGAACTTGGGCTTTGATTCTAAAATGTCCCCCATAGACTTAGGTTTTGAATACTTGGTCTCTGGCAGGTGACACTGCTTTGGGGATTGTGAAGCTTTTAGAGTGTAAGTAGCTCAGTGGGGACTTTGAATGTCATACCCAGCTCTTGGTTTGCGTCCCATGCTCTGCTTCTTGGTTTGCTATGATGTGAGGAGCCGCTGTCACAAACTTCTATTGACATGAGTACCACCATGCCTTCTTCACCATGGGGGATGGAAATCCTCTAGATCCATGAGCCAAAATAAATATTGCCTCTCATAAGTTGTTCCTGTCAAGTATTGTGCCATAGTGATGCAAAATAATTAATATAGAAATCGATACCAGAGAAGTGTGGTTACTTCTGACTAAAACTGGTTATGTGGTTCTTCAGCTTTTGGATTGGGTTGGCAGGAGAAATTTGGAAGATTATGGAGATGCTGACTAGAAGAACATTATAATGCTATAAGCAGGTTTTAATGGGTGAGTCTGGTGGGAGTTCAGAAGACCAGAATACCAATAAAAAGACGAATATTAAGGCCTGTGCTTGGGGGTTTCAAGAGGAAACAAAGTGGGACTCTACTGAGAATTGGGGTAGTAACTAGTCTGGCCACGAATCTGCCTATAATTTGCTTGTGTTTTGAAAATTTGAGTGAGACTCAATAAAAAATAATGGATCAGGTAATTGGGCAGAAGAAGTTTAAGGACAGCATAGTGTTGTAGAATATTATTTTAACCATGTGAAGATGCGTTACATTTGTCTGTGCTGCAGAGTATTACTCTGTGTAAAGACTGTGTTACAGTGTAAAGGTGTGTTACATTTGGGTTTTCTGCATTTAACAATGTAAGAATGCATATTTAATTATAAAAAGCTGTGTTGCATTTGCTTCACCTTGCCTGCCTAAGACACTTGATTGGTCTAATAAAGAGCTGGCTGGCCAATAGCTAGGCAGGAAAAAAGGGTAGGCAGAGCTGGCAGGGAGAGAGAGAATAAATGGGAGAAGAAATCTAGGTTTGAGAGAAGAAATGAGAGAAGAAGGAGGAGAGAATGAGGGAGATGCCTGGGACCAGGAGCCAGGCAGACATAGAGAAGCAGTGAGAGTAAGATATACAGAAGTAAGAAAGGTAATAAGCCCCAAGACAAAGGTAGATAAAAAGAAACAGGTTAGTTCTTTTTCTTTTTCTTTCTTTCTTTTTTTTTTTAATAATTGATAGAACTCTCATCCAGTGACTAATGGAAGCAGATGCAGAGATCCACGGCCAAATCCCAGGTGGAGCTCCAGGAGTCCAATCAGTGAGAGAGAGGAGGGATTATAAGAGCAAGAGATATTGAGACCATGATTGAAAAAAGCACAGGGACGAATAGCCAAACTAGCAGAAACACATGAACTGTGAACCAGTAGCTGAGGAGCCCCCATGGAACTGGACCAGGCCCTCTGGATAAGTGAGACAGTCAATTAGCTTGACCTGTTTAGGAGGCCCCCAGGCAGTGGGACCAGGACCTGTCCTTGGTACATGAGCTGGCTTTTTGGAATCTAGGGCTTATGCTGAGACACTTTGCTCAGCCTTGGTGTAGGGAGGAGGGGACTGGACCTGCCTCAACTGAATCTATCAGGCTGGGCTGACTTCCCAGGGGAGAAACAGGTTAATTTAAGTTAAAAGAGCTAGCCAGAGACCTGCCTAAGCTAGGCTGAGCATTCCAAACTGATAAGAAGTCTCTGTGTCATGATTTGGAAGCTGGTTGGTGGCCCAAAAGAAAAAGCCTGGTACAGCACAGTCATCAGGTTGTGGCATGGCTATTGCTAGATCCTCTTAGGCAGGTTCACAGTAAGAGTCAGATGCAAAACAAACAAACAAAAAACTGGAGCAGAAACGTGAAAAAGTTTGGATAAAAAGAGTATGTAAAGTTGCAGAGAAGGCAAAGTACAGACCAAGTGGTTATAGTTGTTAGAGATTAGCACACTTAAAAAGAAGCCACACACTTTGTGCTGGGCTGGTAGGAAAGGTGCTCGAGGGTGAGATCCCAATGGTCAAGGATCCAGGGCTTTTACTCATTTAACTTCCTTTTAAAAAGAGAGTGCCTAGAAGGGGTCTCTAGGGCACACCACTGGGAAAAAAGCATCTAGGTAAGCATTTTCTTAAATCCAGCTGAGCCCCAGACACGCAGGGACCACTGCAGCCTGGTCCAGCCTGGTGCCTCTCTGCTTCTCAAGTCAGTAGTAGAACTTGGGACCATCTACGTGGTTATGGCTTTTGCAAGCATAAAGAATGCAAGAGATCTGGAGGTCATAGAGGCTTACAGTCAGATTTTAAAAAATTATTTATTTATTTTATGTGCATTAGTGTTTTGCCTGCATGTGTGTCTGTGTGAGGGTATCAGATCTTGGAGTTACAAACAGTTGTGAGCTGCCATATGGGTACTGGGAATTGAACCCAGGTCGTCTGGAAAAGCAGTCAGTGCGCTTAACCACTGAGCCATCTCCCCAGCCCCTTACAGTTAGATTTTAAAGGAACACCTGGGAAGCCAGGTGAAGTGTATCAGGGTCAGATTCCCTGCAGAGAACCCCGAATGGGCTATGTATGAAGTTGAGAAGGTGAAGCCCAAGGTGCAGTGAGGACCCCAGGATGTTGGAGATGCCAGGAACATGGGAGTCTGCTGAGGGAAGGTGTAGGCACTGTGCCAACTTGGCCCAAGAGAGAGGCCATGTGTGTGGAACACAGTAAAGCAGTGGGGGAGGGGCTGTCAAACAGCAGTATTTGCATCATGGCACATGTGTCCTAGAGGTCAGACAAGAAGCTATAGGATTTAATATTTGCCCTGCTGGGTGGTAGTCTTGCTTTGGTTCAGTCTTTCCTCAATGCCCTCCCAGGCATGGTAGTGGGGCTGTTTCCTGGTGCCCCTGTAATTTAGAAGTATGTGACTTGGTTTTGATTTTTTTTAATAGGATCTCACAGGTGAGTTTGTCTTGAGTCTCAAAAGAGACTTTTGACTTTGAACCTTTGAATAATGTTGAGACAGTTAACACTCTGGGGACTCTTGAAATGGGACTGGATGCATTTTGCATTATAAGATGGCCAGGAGACTTTAGGGTCTAGGGGAAGATGTTGGTTTGAATCTGAAATATCTCTCATGGATTCATGTTTTGAATGCTTGTTTCCCAGAAGGCAGTGTTATTTTGAGAGATGAGGAATGTTTAAAATAGAATATTTAGAAAGAGTTGTCAGAAGTATACTACCAAGGCTGCCTTTTGGAAGGTTGTGTCTAGTTCCTGGTTATGGTCCCTTTCTTGGTTTACTGGTCCTCCACAACATGACAGGCCTTGATCACATGCTCCGTTGTTATGCCATTAGCATTCTTATGCCTTCCCTACCACCATGGGGGAAGCTATGGGTCAAAATAAATATTTTCTCTCATGATTAGTTTCTGTCATGTTTTGTCATAGTTAAGCAAAGGTAACTAATACAGTCATTAAGTTTCTACATTTGGAATTAGGAGTAGTGAGTCTGAGATCCAAATATCCAGATTTCTATACATTCAAGGGATGGAGAATCATTTTAATTTTAAATACAATGGTTTTGAATCCCAAAAGATCATCATCCTGGTTGTGGTACCTCCTTGTGAAACAAGGCATGAGATAAAAGAGAATACAGATATCCAGAAACTCCAAATGTTCTGAAGATTTAGAAAAGTCGGGGGCATGTGTCAAATGTGTCTAGGTAAGAGGTGTGCCTTCTAGAAGCAGGAAATGACCCATCAATGTCAGAGTGAAAATGGTTTCTTATTTCTCTGAACAGTAGAGGATGCAGGAATTCCATCCTTGCTCAAGGCTTCTAGACAGCATCTTGTCAGTGTGTACAGCTCACCATGGCACAGCACACTGCAAATAGCGAGGCATGCTTCTTTATCAGCAGAGCAGTATGCTAATGCAGCTGTCACATTAAATATTTGCTGCTGTGGCTCAGTTAATGACTGTCGTAAAAGCATGGCAATAGCTAGCATTTTAAGTGTTTGTGGTACGCAGTGTATTTCTTGCTATTGTAAATAGGCCACACATTTAGAACTAATTACATGCAAGCTATGATAGCAGGTTTGTATTTTACAACTATGTGAGCTATGATCAGCACTTGTAATCACAAAGCAAGTAGAAAATAAATGGTGACAGCCATCCCTTCGTGTTGAGAATCGTCTTGTTTTAAAGTATTGAGTGTTGCTCATAGAAATGAAGGTACTTTGTCAGAAGCAGCTAGCGTAACAAAATGGCTTCTATTTGGCTTTCATACCATGTTTACGTCCAAGTACATTTTTTCCTCTATAGCTTTACCAACCCAATAAACACCCCAAATAGTATCTTCACTTTAAACATTTTTTTGTGTGAATAAAGAAAAAAAATTGCTGTTTTTGAGCTTCAGTAACACATTACTTTTACTTGTTTTGTTACAAATTTATCACATATACCAAATTATGGCATATATGCCTATAAATTAGCATGCATTATATAAAGGAAATAGGCTATCTCAATATCTCCAAGCTCAGCAATGACTCTTATGTGTGTTATAATATTGAAAGTTTTCCAAAGATGGGTCCCAGGCCTAAGATGAAAAATTGGAGATTTCTGGAAAGAGGTTATAGAACAAAGAGTCTTATTCTGTAGTCAATGAGATTGCTGGGGTTCACAAATAGAGATGAAGTGAGATAGAAAAAACACAAATTCCCTAAACTGCAACCAAAATTTTGTCTATATGTCTTCCTGTCCTGTGCTGCCCTGCCATGCCCCATCCTCTCCTCTTCTCTCCTCTCCTCTCCTCTCCTCTCCTCTCCTCTCCTCTTCTCTGTTCCCCTCTTCTCTCTTTTCCTCTGTTCCTCTCTTTTCTCCCCCTCCCCCGTCCAGAAGAAAGGAGTTTAGGGCTTATTTTAGAGCCAGGGAAAGAACAGTGAGTTCTATAAGTAGAGAGCTAGGCCAGGCATGGTGGCATACACCTTTGAGTTGGAAACCAGCCTGGTCTACAGAGTGAGTTCCAGGACAGCAGAGCTACACAGAGAAACCCTGTTTTGAAAAAACAAAAAACAAACAAACAAAAAAAAACAAGAGAGCTTGATTAGACCATAAGAAGCAATAAAGAAGTGGTTCCCAGGAAATAATCTAAGTGCAGTCTTGTATGCCAATACAAAATGGGCTTGTGGCAGTTTACCAAGAATCTCTGAGGAGTTCCTTTTTGTGTTACTTCCTAGGTGGGTCTGTGTCAAGATGAAGCCAAATACCTCCTTCCCAGCCATCAGGTTTCAGAAGCTCATTGAAGTGGACAATGAATACAAGATTTGTACTTTTCATGAGAAGCACATGGGCACAGAAGTATCTGCAGACACTGTCGGTGAAGAGTGGAAGGGTGCACGGTCTGATCAGTGATGGGAAGGACAAACAAGGTTTTCCTAAGACACAAGGTGTCTTAACACACAGCAGAGTGCTCTTGCTATTTAATATGGGGCATTCTAGTTGTAACCCAAGGAGAACTGAAGAGAGGAAGAGCATGTCAGTTTGAGAATGCATTGTAGATGCTAGTCTATGTTGCAAAATAATCCTTTTGTATACTGTGATTTTGTATTACTCTCATTGGTTAATAAAGAAGTTGATTAGCTTATAGCAAGGCAGGATAAAGTTAGGTAGGACAATAAACTGAGGATATTGGGATGAAGAAAGGTGGAGTCAGAGAGTCACTGGCAGATGCAGAGAGAGCAAGATGGGCATGCTATACTGAGAAAAGGTACCAAGCCACATAGCAAAGCATAGATAAGAAACATGGGTTAATTTAAATGTAAGAGTTAGCTAATAACAAGCCTGAGCTATCGACCAAGCATTTATAATTTATATTAAGTCTCTAAGTCAGTTATTTGGGAAGCAGCTGCTAGTTATTTGGGAGCAGGCAGTTGGGGCAGGAAAACTTCCACCTACAAGTCTGAGTGTTCTCAACTTGGTTATTGCAAACACACGAGAGAAGGATATTCTTGGACTGACAGATACTATTGTGCCTCAGCAGCTGAGACCACAAAGAGCTAACAGGATTCAAAAGCTTTCAGTCTCTCTAAAGAGGATGATGTCCTCCAACATGTTGAAAGAAAGCCCTTAAACAAAGAATATGATAAGCCCAAGATTCAGCATCTCTTACTCCACATGTTCTGTAACTCAAATGTTGATTTATTGTTCTGAAGAAACAATGCACTAAGCTAAACAAGGAGCAGACTGAAGAATATATTAAACTTTTGGCCAAGATAATGAAGGAAGCCAAAGGAAAACACCAGGGGTAGATTTCCAAGAGATATAGGCTGTCCTTGCTGAGAACTTCTACTTCTAAGTCTGAATCCAGTAAAAATAAGTCTTTAAGAGTAACAAGTAAATATTTAGACATTGATAAGGGTATATTACTGAAAAAAAAGGCTTACATATTTCATTGAACTTAGAGAAATTGAGCTGATGCCTATCTAGAAGCTTCACACCCTACTGGCTATTATTCATGGTGCTGGAAGGTATTTCCCACACCACTGGAAGAGAAGGGTAATCATCAATATCTACCAGCTGCAACCCCTGTGACCTATAACAGTGACCTGCCTGCAAGATAAACTGGTGCAATAATAGCACAAATGTTTTGGCAATAACCAGCCACTTTCTGATTAGATGTAAGGCCCACACCATGAGATGGAACCCATGTCTGACATTTCTTGGGTTGCCAAGCACCTGAGACTACTACTATTCTGCTAAAGGAAAACAACAATAAAATGATTCCTAATGACATATTGCTATACCCATACATCAGTGCCTTGCTCAGCCTCCATCAGAAAAGTTTCTTGTTGCAGTAAATAAGAACTAACACAAAGACTCACAACTGGACAATGTTCAGAAAGTGAGAGACTTTAGAGCACCTAGTCTTAAATGGGATATCTTCATCAAACCCTTCCCACTGTGGAACAATTCTTTTCTACACTATGAATATTTATTACTCTCATTTGCTAATAAAAAACTGACTGGCTGATAGCTAGGCAAAAAAAGATTGAGTATGAGAGCCTGACTAGGAGAATTCTGGGAAGAAGAAGGCAGAATCAGAGAGTCACCAGCAAATGCAGAAAAGCAAGATGAGACTACCATACTGAAAAAAGGTACTAAGCCATGTGGCTAAACATAGATAAGAATTATGGGTTAATTTACATGTAAGAGCTAGTTGATAATAAGCCTGAGCTATTGGTCGAGCATTTATAAGTTACGCCTCTGAGTGATTATTCAGTAACTGGTGGGTGGGAGAGAACAGTGTGTCTACACCTTCCTTTCAAGGTTCAAGGATCTATGTGGAAAAGGAGGCTGAAAGATGATAAGAGCTGAGGTGATGTATGACTTCAAGGAAACAGTGTCTTCCAGACACAACAGGACTGATACACATATGAACTCACAGAGAATGTGGCAACACACACAAGACTGCACAGGTTCAAACAAGACAGGGTTCCAGCACTGAGTTAGAGAAGTGGACACTGGCTCCTACCCCTAACCAAGAAACAATCTGCAAATGATACCTATTGGCAAAGGAAAAATCAGTTTCCTCCAATGGAGTCTCACTAGGTCTATTAGCCACACTTCGAAGCAGACCCTGTGCCCAGCAGTAGTTGACCAACACAAAACAAACTTGAAGGTATTTTTGTAGACTTTTTGTCTTATTTTGCTTTAGTTGAGCATTGTTTTGTCTTTTTGATCTTTTGATTATTTGTTTTTGTTTTCTTTTGCATGTGTTGTTTTGTTTTGTTTGTTTTGGTTTTGTTTTGAAGTGAGAGAGGGGAAGTAGGGAGGGCAGAGGGAGGGAGAGAGAGAGAGGAGATGGGGAGAAAGAGACAGAGAATCTAAAGTTTGGTAGATGGGGAGGTGGAGGATCTGGGAGGAATAGTGAGAGGAGAAAATATGGTCAAAATATGTTGTATGGGGGGAGGGAACAGAAGGGAGGAAGGAGGGGAAACTGTGGTCAGTATGTAAAATAAATGAAATAATTTAATTAAAAAAAAAAGAAAGAGAGAGCAAGATCTCAGGAGGCACTGAATCCCAGGCATCTGTGATTTTAAAACGCCAAAAAAAAATGTTGTTTTAAAACTTTTTTCAATAAAAAACAAAACAAGAGAGAAAAAAATCAGACCTTGAGGGGGAAAAAAAAGAATCTCTGGGAAAATTGCTGCTAATTTTCAGAAGGCTTCACAAAGCCCTGCCTGCTGGGGTTCTTCTGATGGCCCTGGAATGAGCTCCGTTTCTTACTGTCTCAAGCACAGTGCTTGGTTCTAGCCAAGAGGACAACGGAGGAGACCGAAGTCGTGAAACAGTAGCTCTTCATCACCCTTTCCTTGCCGCGTGTTCAGACTGCGGCAGCACTCTTTCCAACCCAGTGCAGACTGACAGCTGACAGCGCTGGACATTTCCTTGGCTCAGGCAGATGGGTACCAGACCCAGATGCTGGAGTATTGGGCTGTAGGAAAGCATGTTGGTTGGCTCAGGAGTCAGGCACAAGGCTTTGAGACAAGGCTTCTTCCTCCATGATGCAGGATGGTCAGAAAGACCAGGCAACTGCTTATTTTCGTGTCTAATACACATTAACTTTCACAAGGTCAGTCAAATTTCACAATCATGTCTAGCCCCACTGTACAAAGATTATTACATGTTTGGTCTTTATTCTCCCTGGAAGAGGTGGTTTTTTTTCCCCCTGTCTCATAGGAAAAGCCAAGTTCCCATTATCAACCCAACTCTGAACCCTTGAGTTCTTAGCTGCCAAAGCTTCTATCCCCAAACGTTATTCTGAGATTTCTTATGGGAAGGGGAAGTGTGGGGGTGTACTTTCTACTTCTTTATTGCCTACTCAGGTCACAGACCAGCTTGACATATGATTCAGTGCCCTTTCTGATATAGCAGCATCTCCTAGCACCCATGTCCCAGACTCTGGAACCTTGTGGCTGATGCTCTTACGAAGAGACAGCACCATGGCCATTTGCTTGGAAAGATCACAGCCTTTGTTAGGCTACACCCCCCACCTTCAATCTGCTTTGGGGCAAGCACCTGCTTTGATCTGTGTGCAGGCCTGGTAGGTCATGGCCTACATTAATTCATGCATAACAATATGACTTTCCCTTTCGTTCAGAGCAAAGCATAATCATTTCAAGGCTCGCCTAATGCTGAATTCTTAACAATCCAATTGAATCTTATTTTCATATGTCTGCTGGGTGATCACTGCATAGCCCTGAAATAAGAAGATAATGAAAAAATGTTTCTTTTAAATTACTGAAGACTATTGCTGTCTGAAGAGGAGCTCCTGTCAGAAGCAATGATTTGCGGGGGGGACCCAACTTGGGACAGGCACTGTCAACAAACTCTCCATCCAAATCCAGGTGTGTCAGGCATGCAAAGGCAGCAGGCTGTGAACACAGTCCATTGTGTGGAAATCCCATGTAACCTGAAGAAAGATAAAAGTGAGAGAAGCCATGGTTATAAAAAGCACTTTGTAAACAGCAACATGCTTTGTGACTGTGACATGATATTATAACTTCCCTTGTGGTTCCCTTCCCTATGGTTAGAAATTACTAAAGGCCCCTTGACTCCTGCCAGCCTCTGTTTTAATGATCTTTAAGCCTTATTCCTAAAGGCAGGACATGGCACTTGGCAGGGAAAGAGCTTAATAATTTGTTTGTGGTAAAATGCTATCCTAATTAGTGGATCTCATTAATTTCAATCAGGCTGGAGTTAGCCGCCCTTCCCCACAGTCAGACGGTCACCAGGTCCTGCCGACTTTCCTAGGGGATCTGTCTCTTACTGTTTGCTTTGTCCTCACTGCCACTGTCAAATTTGTGACCTCCCATGTCACACCTGAGCAAAAGGCTGCTCATGCCCATCTGCAATTCACCCTCCCTGGCAGCCACAGGGGTCTTTCGGTAACAAACGACATCATATCCCTACCCGTATGCCCTGTGGCAAATGCTTCATCCTGCTTTGTTGGGTCCACCCCTGCTAGTTCTCAACTTCATGCACTATGGCAGTCTCCCACGCTAACCTTCTGTTTCAAACCCTCAAAGATTCAAAGCTCCTTCCTGTCTTCATCTCGGCCTCTTCTGTTTCTCTGCCTGGACTATATTTTCCTCAGTCTCTTTGTGGGCTGGTGCTCACCTATCAAATCTCAGTCTCACTGTTTCTTCCTTGAGGAGACAGTCCACAAACACCCCAGCCACAGTATCTGCCCACACTGGCCAGCCTCTGTTGGCCTCCTTTAATTTACTTAAACCCCATTCTTATGTATGTGACTGTTCATTACTTATTCCTTACTAATAAAATACGTTCCATGTGTGACTAAATCTATATTGTTCCCTGCTGTGTCTTGGGGACCAGCAGTGGGCCCACACACAGCACTCACATTCATTTTATGAATGAATGAGCATTAAGCAAAGGCAGAGATCACTGGGAAGAAAAGGTAATTTGGTTTATGTTAGCATTCTAAAACAATTAGTAAAATTCAATTCCATGAAGAGATGTGGTCAAAATGACTGTTTTAACTGATTGTCCTGGCTAATTCTGTTACAAAAGTAATTCGTTGATAAGAAAATAATAGCAAGTGCTATTGAATTCTATAATTTTTAATATTGCTTGGTTGCATTTGCCAGAGAAGTTTGGAATCCATTATTATTATTATTAATTTTTATTTTTCTTTATTAAGAAATTTTCTACTCATTCCTCATGCTATCCACAGACCTCCCCCCTCCTCCTCCCACCCCCCAGCTCTCTTTCCTAAGCCGCCCCGCATCCCCACATTCCCCAAATCGAGGTCTCCTATGGGGAGTCAGCAGAGCCCAGCACATTGAGCCTAGGCAGGTCCAAGCCCCTCCCCCACTGCACCAAGGCTGTGCAAGGTGTCACACCACAGGCACTGGGGAATCCTTTATTATGATTGAAAGTTTATTAAAGTAAAAAAAATTACATAGTGTAATTTTTTGTTTTGTTTTCTCTTAGAAAATTCTTGTTTCCAGTGTAAATCCCAAAGACCAGTCTAGAAAGAGTAAAGTTGTAATTTATCATTTTACAACTTTATTTTGTTTGTTTTATTGTTTGCAGTGCTAGGGATTGAACCCAGAGTCTTGGGAATGCTGGTCAACTACTCTACCACAGAGCCACATTTCGGCCCTCTTTTAGAAAGTTTTATTCATTCATTCCAGTGTGTGTTACTTCATGGTAGAGTATGTTTATTTATGTGTTTTGTGCACCTTGATGCCTGACTTTGTGGGAACCAGACAGGTAATTTCCTCCTGTGGGCAAGGCTGTCTAACAATTTCTCCTCTGTAGTAATTTAGGCTGAACACATTGACCATGTCCTGCTACCATGGAGTTCTAAGGAAGCCATGAAGAGATGGCATACTTGAAGCTGTTATAAGTAATGCTTTTTGTATTATAGAAGAGCAGGTTCAAGACCTCATGGAAAAGGGATGAACTGGGCCAAAGATTTCACAGTCAATCCCGGAGGGTAGCCATGCTCTCCATGTAGGCCTGCCTAGTAAACTGAATTGAGAGACACCTTGGACAAATTCAGTCTTTCAAAATCTGTGAACCTCATGTATAAAACCAGCTCTGAACCTTTTACATTGGTTTTTTTGTCACAGTTAAGGAAAGAGAAAGGAGCATATGGGGTACGGGATTGCACAGAAAATAACTAGACTAAATTTAACTTGATTCTGCTGAGTTACAGAATTATTCAGAAACAATTGGACCTAATTTTCCTGAAAATTAACATCAGTTAAAAAAAATTAAGCAAAATAAATCCTTCCTAGACAAAAATTGTAAACTGAGACTTGATCCAGCTTCATCCAATTTTCCCATCCTTGGTTGACAAAGACGTAAACTTAGGAGTGTTGGCAGGAGCTGAAGACTGAAAGATTATTACAGAATGAGAACTCTGTGTTTTAGAGATATTTAAAGAGGAGGATTTTACTGACAGTTTCAATTTCTGCTAAGGACTGAGTTGTACCACCCATAAAATAATCACAGGCCGTAGAACTTAGGATCTGGAAGGAACCCCAGGATTCCGTCTAGTCCACGACTTTCTAAGGTTGTACAAACAGGACCAGGAGATGAAGGACCTTGCTCAAGGTTTAGGCTTAAGTTTGTAACAGCCAGGGTCTGAGTTCATTTCCTCTCATGGAAATGCCTCCTATTGAACAGGTCCAGCCACAGTTCCCCAAGAATTTCTGGTGTTTGATGGAATAGTTTTTACTCTAAGTACAGGATTCAGATGGCCAGACCACGTAAGAGGTTATTATAGTCACCATCCTGCTGCTTCCTTCTGAGAGATTCAATGATGGGAGAGTTCAGAAGCAATGGGCCTCAAGGACAGTTGTATAAAAATGTAGTTTGGGGCCTGGGGAGGTGGATCAGTGGTTAAGAGCACTTGCTGCTCTTCCAGAAGACACGGTTTGGTTCCTAGCACACACATTGAGGGGATGGAGAGTAGAAACTGCCTGTAAGTCCAGTTCCAGGAGATGCAGCACCCTTGTCTGGCCTCCACAGGCACCCATACACATGTGGCATACCCTCTCACAAACATTCCCCAACACACATAAATTTACCAAAAAAACAAAAAACATTCAGTCAAGCTTGTTGGTTCAGGCCCAGAATCCCAGCTACCAGGGAAGCTAAGGGAGAAGGACAGCAAGTTCAAGGCCAGTTTTGGGCAACTTAGTGAGACACGTTTCAAAACACAAAGTAGAAAGAGAGCTTAATTATCACATCTGAGGTACCAAGCAGGACCATCGTCATCAACAACAACAAAAGACAAAGATTTAAGAAGTCGAAGCTGAGTACTTGGTATCTGGAGTCCTTCCTTCCCTCAGCGGGGATTTTAACTGACTATGCCAACGGCACGTATGTCTTCATACTGCCTCATGAGAAGCAGCCTACACCCTAGAAGCAGGAGGTGGCCAATCCGGTGAAATACTGCCATCTTTGTGAGTTTCCTCTTCTGTAAGAAACAGAACACCTTTGTTCTCAACTTCCTTACTAATAGCTGGGTCACACAGAAGGTGTGGAAATGGAGAGCAGAGGACTTTGGAGGCCCCCGTTTCTCCTTTTCCTAAACTATGTGCAAGTGTATCTGTAGGTTCCTATGATCCATTGCCCCTCCCTCCAGGCCCATAGTCTCTACTTACATAGTAACTGACTAGACAGGAGCATGGTCGTAAATGTTTTGGTTTTGGTCAGGGAAAGGGTTCGGGTGTTGGGAGCTGTAAGCTGGCAACTGAACCCAGGGCCCTGTGCATGTTAGACACGATTTCTACCATTGAACCAAATCCCCAGGCCTTATAAGTGAAAATTTAAAAGATTCCAAGTGGGGGGGAATTTTGGCAGAGAGGAGTTGGGAAGTGTTGCCTGAGTGGTGGTTGTCTGCCTGGGCTCTTTGAAAATACTGAGGAGTTACCATGATGAGGAAAAACTGCTTTAACTGTTAAAAGTAAATTATCAGCCGGGCGGTGGTGGCGCATGCCTTTAATCCCAGCACTCGGGAGGCAAAGCCAGGCGGATCTCTATGAGTTCAAGGCCAGCCTGGACTACCAAGTGAGTTCCAGGAAAGGCGCAAAGCTACACAGAGAAACCCTGTCTCGAAAAAACCAAAAAAAAAAAAAAAAAAAAAAAAAAGTAAATTATCATTTTTGCTTTATCTACCCCAGCATGCATACAAATAGAAATGAGAATATATTTAGTGTTCCTAACCCTCTTTAAAAAAAAAAAAAAAAAGTAGTTGGGAGACAGATTTGACGGGAGCAGAACTAATTAGAAGTGGGCTGCACCTGGCTTTGCAATGTTTCTAGCTCCTTTTGGGTCTGGGCCTAGCAAAAAGAAAAATATTTGAATTCTTTCTCTGGAGTCACTATTAAAATCACGTTTTGTTAATATCAGACTTCAATCAATAAATGCAAAACATAATCTTAAATCATATCACTATATAATGGTAATAAGCCAATACAGTAGTTTAACACATTTGATGTTTAACATTGGAAACTTCCACCTAATTTTTTTTATGCACTGTCATACGTGTGCATCTTGACGACTTCATGGGTGGAATTTTTCAGTAAAACGTGGTGACTTGATATTTTTTACAACATTCTGGTGATGGCGGAAACTCCTTTTTAAGAGCATGCATTGGGTATATCTTGCTAATACCATCAATAACCGAGCTCATTTGACTGAACTGAAGAACCAGAGGAGTTTGTATCTTTGATGAAGATCGTCTTACTATTTTCCCTATGTTGTGCTGTGTAAGGTTGTTTGGGTGTCAGAGTTCATCTGGATAGTACACTTTCCAGGTGTGTGACTGGTTAAGACCAGAGGACTTCCTTCCTGTCGCTTAGACACAAAGTTGTTAACACAGTTTTTCTCTGACATTTAGATCTTCCGTTGTCACAGACTCACAGCAAGGAG